TATCATTACATGCTTAAGTTATAATTCAAATAACATAATCTCCGAAAATGTAATAATTATACATGCCATGATTCTTAAGTACCTCAAACTAATTCTACCACTACTAAATAGTCTCTTCTGTTCTGAAGCTACTCTTCTGATCTTCAAGTAGCAACCACGGACTTCAACCTGCGCGTGATAAAAATCTACGAACTGAGTATAAAACTCAGTGGTGCTTATAAATGACAAACTTAATAATGTTGCACTGGCAACACACTTAAAATATAAATTTTCATCAAAAGAACATACATTTACATTTATAGCAAAATAAATATCAAATAAACTTATAATTAATAACATTACATTTATAGCCATAAAGAAATATCAAATACAACTTATAAATATCAAAACTAGCAAAAGAAATATCAAATAAACTTATAAATAATAACATAAGTAATTTAATTCTTCCAAATCATAAATTCATTACTTGGACATTTATTATACCAATACACATACTCTTTATTTTAAAACCATGTACCGAAATATCATGCTTTGAAAATTCATTTGATAACATAATCATTTTTTTCCAAACTAAGGTTTACTGAAATAATATAATCTCATTCATTTAAGTGCCTTAAAAATCTTTTCCAAGGGCTCGCATACACTTAGGAGAAAGAGAAGCAGATAGGTTTTCATAACTTATTCATAGTAGCCTTAGGTCCCCAACCTTTTCATAACATATAGAGTGCATCCGCCCTAACATAAGACACCCACGTACCTAGCATATGATCATAGCTTCTTATCATACTTCTTATCCAATACATGGCCATCAAAATGCCAAGGAGCATGCTCATCATAACATAATAAAAATCAAATTCAGGTCATCAAATTCACACCAAAGTATATTAGAGCCCAAAATCATTCTTGTTTTAATTCTTAATTCATAAACACTTCTCATAAGACTTGTCCTTATTCTTTAAGCTTCTCATAATGAATAATAAAAACTTAATTTAAACTTAAGTAATTCATAAAAATTCTCATACTTAAACAAAATGACTTAACATAGAAAATTTCCAGCATAAAAGTAACAGTGACCTTTGCTGTGTTTTTAAACTATAACTTGAGTCGTGGGTCTCAAAATTGAATGAAATCAGATTCATTAGAAAGCTAAGACAAAATTCTCCAAATGTTATTAAGGGACCACAGCCCAGATCAATCGGTAAGATAGCAAACAAAAGCTAGAAACACAGACCAACAGATCAAACCTGATTCAGCAGAACTAAGTCCAATGTTTATTGAATTCCTACTAAACCAAACACTCAAATTAAACCAATCTAGAACGAGAGAAGTCTAAAGAATTCTGTATGAAAGTCAGAAGACACAGGGATATAGCAACTTTTTTATGAAGTGAATCTCAAAACTAATCTTGTCCAATTAAACGTGGTCAGAAAATGGGCACTCAATTCCATGTGATGCATGTGGCCCCGACACAACAGGACGTCATTTTGTGGGTGGTTTCTTAGTCCATAAGTTTGAGTGCTTATTTATCTCCAATTGGAGCAACAAGAGAATGGGTTTTGGGAGAAGCTAGAGGATAGATCTACAGACTTTTAAACTGAAAGGACCTCATGACACAAATAGAAGACTAGGGGATGTCAAAAATAGGTTCTTAACTTAGTCAACCCATTTTTCCCATTCAGTCTTTATTTACCTGAAAGGACATGAACAACAAAGATCCAAGGTAGAAATGTCTACCGACAGAAACATAAAATACTCATCAAACATTACCACAAGGAGCATGATACCCTCTGCAAACCAAATTATCAACACAACTCAATCATTTTCAATCTACAAAAATCCCACGTAAATATTCCAGCATAATAGCATTTATAGGCACAATTATTTCAAAAAATTGTGGAGTAAGGTTTAGTGTGGTTTATAGAATTACTACCTTAAAAATGAAGCTTTGCCAAGCTTAATATTAAAGTTTTCTATAAGACTCTAACTTTGCTTTACTAACACATGGATAAGGTTTCTCTAACCTTGTGGCATCATTGTAGAGAATCTCCAAATTTCTTGAAATAATTCACCAAAGGATTCACTCTCTCAACCGCTTTAATCTTCTAGGATTAATAACTTAAATCCAAGTTGGTAGTGTAAAAAGATTTGGTGGATTTTTAGTGAGATAGTGATGAAGAAAAAACAAAGAAGAGAATTAAGAGAGGAGTTGGTTCTTTGGAAAATGAGAGTGAGAAAGAAGAGAAAGTGGTCTTGCTCCAATATGGAGTTGACTTATATAAGCAATTTCTAAAGGGTAGTTTTTAGTCTTTTCCCATTAGGATTGGAGATAGCTAAGAATTAAGTCAGAGTAAGTAATTGCATTAATGGCTACAAAGTAAACTTTCCTAAATTATATAGTATTATTTGTGGTTGGTTTTTTGGGATTTTTTGGGATTGTTTTCGCTTCTCATCGCCGCGCCCTTCCTGCTCTTGCTCGGCTCACCCTTCTCGGCGCCTTTTCAAATAATATTGATTTATATTTTCTCCATAATTCTCAAATTAAATCCTTTTAAAATAATATCCTTTCAAATTTCCTTACTTATATAAACGCGATATATTGTCACGTATCACTAAATGTGAGCTAAATTCCTACAAAAATATCATTACTTATTTTCTACCCCCATAAAAAATCAATTGTATGCATACTCCAAAAAAGTATTAAATAGAAGATTAAAACATAGATAAGTAATTTTCTGGACCAAAATAATACTGGTTGATTTTCGGACTGAAGTAGTACTCCAATTCACAGACCTTAGTTGGTACCTCTATCCATGATAGACCGATTAAATACTATCTTTTCATAGTTAAATTATAGCTCATATTTACCCGGCCTTCGGGAAATCCTTAAATAAAAATACTTATGCCCCATAAAAATCATGTATGCATACTCCAAAAATATTAAATAAAATATAAAACATAGATAGTAATTTTTCTGGACCAAAATAATACCGATTTTCGGACTGGTAGTACTATTCACAGACCAGTGGTACTATTCATAGACCGATAAATCACTATCTATCCATAGTTAATTATACTCAATATTTACCTCGGATCTAAATAAAATATTATGCTTCTCTCTGTAGCACTATTCATGACTCGATAAAATAATACCATATAAGATTCGAAAATTTTTGGGGCGTTACAATATAAATAATCCAACTCTCGCAGTTATTTTAGTGTTAGTCAAGTATGGATGGGAGAATTATCTACTCAAATATTTTTGTATAAATTTAAAATCTTTCATGGTGCTTATGAATGAACAAGTTCATATATTATGACAATGTGGTTTGTTGGTGCCATGGATGGGCCCGATTATGATTATTGATTATATTTACATGCTACGGGCCGGATACAATATTAGTATTTATTATACTGTTACCCTTGAATTTATATGGATCATGGCACTTGTATATTTTATTATGGAATATGGAGTTGGGCTTCATAAGATGTATGATTATAAAATATATGGGCCTTTAAAATGGTATTGATATATGAACAGGTGAAATTCTTAATTGGACTTCGTATTTGGGCTTTGTAATTCTTAGGCTTACTGTGGATCTTAGTGACTTTATGCTTACCTGGATCCTAGTACTGGTCTGGCCCATGGAAACGGATCGTAACATAGGGAAGAAGGATTTTAGGCCCCTAACCTGTGAGTGTTGCCCCTCCTGTTAAGGGAAAGAACAGATGCGCGCAAGCCGCTCAATTCTATATGATCTTGGAATAAAGGGATTGAGAACAACTGCTTTGGCGGAGATTCCTTATTTCATTTCATTTAATATGAAAAAGAAGTGCCCAAGAGGGATGTTGTTGAATAGACGGATTCTTGACCTCCGACTTCAGGGGAAGGACAAAGAAGAGCTTAATTGACAGGTATGTATGTACGAGATTCAACAGCTGTCCCAATAGGTAAAGCAGTAGACTTAGTGAGATTAGTTTGTTGCCAGAATTTTTTCGATTAAAGAGGGTTCGATTTACCAGGGTAAGGAGGCATCTCTCATTGAATCGGTCTTTTTCGCCACATAGGGGCTATGGGAGTCAAACCCAATTCTTCCGCGGCCCCTCCATAAATAACGAGAAAAGTTCTCTCTTATCTACGAGAATTTTTGTTCCATTCTTTGAAGTTATCAATATGGGAAGGTTCTAAATTAGCTAGAGGAAGCGCGCTATCTAATCACTAGTGTTGGTTTTAGAGCTTTCTCTGGTGAAAGAGTGACCCTGCCTAGTGCTGTTTTAAGAATCCCCTCGTTCTAGGAGTAGTAGTAGGCCGTTTGAGCTTAAGCTTCGTAGCATAAGAAACAAATACATGTTTTATGTCTCTCAAAGACATAAAACAAAGATTGCAAAAAAGGAAAAGGAAAAGGAAAAGGAAAAAGGAAAGGAAAAAAAGTGACAGTTGCAATTCTCAAAGGAAAAAAAAGAGTAAAATGGAGGACGATGAATTTTCCAGGTCAAGAAGTTGCACTTAATTGGGATGAGGAGGGAAAGTTACTTCACGTACGACTAGGTAAGTGGAGTTTTTAACTTCCCGGAAATTTGGCACTTCATGCCGACCAAACAAGTCCACAATCTTTATTTTTCGGGAATTACAATTTTCCTCATTACCTACACCAAACCATATGTTACCTAGATCGGGGCTAGAATTTACGTTCTTTATTGATTGTCTAACGCAGGATATAAAAGTCTTTTTTTTTCTTTTTTTTTTAGAATATATAGTCTTTTACCATTAACATTTATTTACATTTATTGGTTCGTAACAACTTTCTTTCTAAAACTATTTAAGGATAAGCAAATAGTTGTTGGGTGGTTTCTATGCAAAATGTTGGTAATAATTCGGATGATAATATTTAAATCACATCACAATTAAAAAAAAAAAAAAGGAAAAAAAAAACACAAATGTTGGGATAAAATTGTAATTGTAAATACAGAAGGAGATGGACAAAAGCAAACGCACGTCAGATTTGCATCAACAGGGGATGACAGCAACAGTTCACGCATTTCAAGGTTTCTGCTGCGTCAATCTCCAAATTGCATTTCTTGAAGCGGTCCCATCTCCACAACCATAAAACAGATTCGATGCTTCCGTCTTACTAATATTTATTTATTTATACTCTAATAAAATCATTTGCCTTGCCCCAACTGTCCTGCGAGATACACGCAGTTTCTACTAATTTGAAAAGGAAAAGAACCGAATGGCGTTTCAAAACGCGATCACCTGCCGGCTAATGCAGAAGCGGCTGATCGGAGCGAGATCAATGTCTTCGTGGTGGCGAAGCGTTGAGCCCGCCGCTAAAGACCCGATTCTGGGCGTAACCGAAGCTTTCCTTGCCGATCCCAGTCCCGACAAAGTCAACGTTGGAGTTGTCGGTTTCCTTTCTTTGACTTGAGTTCTTTTTATTTATTTTCGCTTGAACTGTTCTGAATCCTCTGTTGCTTGATTATGATCTTCTTTTGGCTGTTATTATTTCTTAAGGGTGCTTACAGGGACGACAACGGGAAACCAGTAGTTCTGGAATGCGTTAGAGAAGCGGAGCGGAGGATTGCTGGCCACTTAAACATGTGAGTCATTTCTTCTAAATTCATTTCATAATTATTATTGTTTCATTTTTCAAAAGAGAAGGAAAAAAAAAAAAAAGAAATTATTTGATAAAGTTCTATCTTTATCTATCTTTGGAATTATTAAGCTAAAGTGCTATTTAAAACAAAAAATTCTGAACCTTAAGATTGGCACCAAACAGTAAACACAGTTACGAATTTTCGAATTATCGCTCAATATTGGTCTTGATACTTCTTTAAATTGTCTAATTAAGCCCAATTTATTTGAATAAAAAAAACTTTCTCGATTTTTTTAAGGAAATAATTTTTTTTTTAAAAAATAATATTTAAGAAAAAAATGGAAGAAAAATTCTCGGGGGTCTGGTCACTTTTGCTTAAAAAATTAGCCATATTGATTTTAGAGAAAAAATCTATAAGTTTCAATCATATAATTTAAAAATGATTGAATAAAAATTGATGCAAATTTGGTTGAATCATTTACTTTAAAAATATAATTATATTGATTGAATAAAAATTTTGATGCAGATATTTGGTTGAATCACTTTCTTTTAAATATAAATTATATAGTATAGTATATAATGACGTATTTAGTGTATATATATTATGGGAGAGAAGAGAGAGAGAGAGAGAGAGAGAGAGAGAGGAGAGAGAGAGAGAGAGAGAGAGAGAGGGGTAATATAACTTGTCTTAATTGAAGCAAGTCATCAAGGATTTGCCCTTAAACTCATTAGAAGCGAGGATATTTAGTGTAATTAGGTGATTGGTAAAAATTAAAAGCTTATTTTGAGAAGTGGAATACATAAGTCGTAAGAAATTATTTAAAACAACTCTGTATAAACGGTCAAAATAATCCAACCCTACATAATCTCCTCTTCTATTAAATAGAAAGGGAAAAAAAAAAAGAATTATTTAAGAATCTGAATAGCAGAATTAGGCTAATGCCAATCATTTTGAGGTGGTGAAATCACTTCCATTGTGTTTGCTACTTTTCAGCAGTAAATGCAATGGCTGCTGAAGCTGATTTCACAAGTTGATAGAGAGCACGGAGTTTCATTTTTTTTTTTTTTTTTTTTTTTTTCTTTTTAGCACAAGGTCTTCTCCGTTTTCTTTTTGTCTTGGCAGGAATATTTTGACGTTTAAATGTATGAAAAAGCTCCATTTATTTTAATAGTTTCATTTTTTTTTTTTTTTTGTCTTTTTAGCACAAGGTCTCTCGTTTCTTTTTGTCTTGGCAGGAATATTTTGACGTTTATGTATGAAAAGTCCATTTGATTTTAATCAATTTCTTGTTTCCAGTGTGTTTTTCATATTTTAACGGAGAGAGAAATTTTTGAGTTTTACCAAGTGATCTAATCACTCTAGATATCCTCATTTTTAATGAGGCCCACTTCGTTCTATTCAGATTGCTGGTAGTCCATCACAGCACGGAATATCAAATGCCAAAAAAATGAGAAAATTGTATTCTAGAAATTTTTTTTTTCATAAAATAATTCAATAGAAAATATTTTCTTGTGAAAAAAACAACTGTCATTGTTAAGAAAAATGACTTCCTCATTTTAAAAAAGAGTTATTTTCCAAGTGCTGGCAAACTCAGTATAATAATAATAATAAAAAGAAACATGTGATTAATCCACCTATTATTGGCAATCACCATTGATATCATCGATGTTCACTGACAACTATCACGGGTGGCATCATACACTATAAAATACAATTTTTATGTCTTTTATCTCATATTTAATCAAACAATAAATTAAATAAAATATGCAATTTCTAGACGTCTAAATATTTGTATAGTCTATTCTATAAATTAAAAAAAAAAAAAAGTTAATACCATTTAACAAATTTTCAATGTTACAATCAAATGATAGAAATTAAGTTCTTTGGAAAATATTTTCTAAGCAATTTTGCTTAGAAAATACTTTTCAGAGAAATTATTTTCTAAGCAATTTTGTTTTGTCCAAAGGCCATGGCAAGGGGATGATTTGAAGTGATGAAAATGGATTTTGTGAGGAGAAGAAGAATTAGAAGAAGAACAAAGCTTGATTATTCCCTCAAACTTGCTAGGGTTAATAGTACAAAACTGATTCTATATGGGGAAATGAATCCCCAATTACAGCCTTATGCCAGCATTAATTACAGCATAATATCAGCAGAATAATCACACAATCTCAACCCTAGTTACAATATTCTAACAGATGTCTAGTCATTCAAACTTGCTATGTCATGCTAAGAATGAATTGGATGTCTAGTCAGTTGGACTTGCAATGTCAGACTAAGACTAAATGAACCATGTGAAAATCATTATACCACTAGCATAGTAAGGCATTGTGACATAGGATGAGAGAATTGTGTGATTTTTAGGGGGAGACTGCAATTGGAATTTGGGTGTAAAAATAGGGTGTCTGTAGCTAGGTCTATGTAAAGAAGTACTGGAAAACTGAGTTGAATGGAAGAAACAGATCCATGCAGCTGACCCCAACTAGCTTGGGGTATTTACTTAATTGTTGTCGTTGTTTCTTGGTGTATTTACTTAATTGTTGTCGTTTTTTCTTGGAGAATTTACTTAATTGGCCTTGCTAAAATTAATAAGCTAAATGAAATTGGGATTAATCTGGCATGAACTACTGATTAATTATAATCTTGTGTATTAGTTTGAAGTGTTGAAAATATCAAAGTTATTACTGAAAATGATAAACTTGTGTTACTTTAAAGTCACTATACAAGTCAGTGAAAATTTACAGTTATAAACTATTGACTATTCAATCAAACTGAAGGGGGAATTGCTTCTACCCTGAACATTTTTCATGAGTTGACTGCTTTCTAGATCATGATTCTTGAGCCCGTCACCTTGAAGCTGTATTCCAAAAACACCATAATAACTGTTGAGCGAAATGCCTCTTTGAATAAAAGCTCCTAGGAAGAGGTGATGTATATGTGTAATTTGCACCTGTCGCAACACAAATCAACATGTAATTATCAAACTTATGTTACGGTGAAGTTTCACGAAATCTCTAGAGAGCACCTGCCCTGGAACTCATTTTGGATTCTATTGGAGCTGCATTTTCCTTTACGACTTTTGGGGGGTGCCTGAGCACTTGTTTTTTGTTTTGGGTATACGCATTTGATTTCATGTTATAATAGTAATGTGTTCAATTGATTTATGGTTTGCAATTTTCTGATGCATTGTTTGAATGATGAATTATTTTGTGTTCCCGGGCAGGGAGTATCTTCCAATGGGAGGAAGTATGAAGATGGTGGAAGAAACATTGAAGCTCGCCTATGGAGAGAATTCTGGGTACATTAAAGATAAAAGGATAGCAGCAGTGCAGTCCCTTTCTGGTACTGGTGCATGCCGACTTTTTGCAGATTTTCAGAAGCGTTTTCGTCCTGATTCTCAAATCTATATACCAGTCCCAACATGGGCTAAGTGAGTATTGCTTGGTTGATAATCCTTTTAAGTTCTATGATAATTGTTCTATTATAGTTATTCTTATTACTATCCATCATGATGTTGGAATAGAAATGGTCATAGTATTGGAAATTGCTTCTCTCATTTACATGAGTTTCTAATATTAGATTTTAACAGTCACCATAATATCTGGAGAGATGCCCAGGTCCCTCAAAAGACCTATCATTACTATCATCCAGAGTCCAGGGGCTTAAATTTTGCAGCATTGATGGATGACATTAAGGTATTAAGCTACACTCTAATGTCTGTTTGGCATTGCATTTAGGCTGCTTTTTGAGAAACTGCTCTTGCAGTATCTAGAGTGGTCAACCAAAGTTAGAAAAAGCTAGTTTTTCTGTTTTCTAATCCATGATTTGCAAAATCAATGAAGAAAAGTTCTTTAAAAAATTAAAAAAAAAAAGTTAAAAATGCAATTTTTAAAAGTAGCCTTCATATTCAATCCCAAATGGAACTTTATCTTCTGATAGGATTATATTGTTTAAGTGTTTAAATTTCCTTAGTCTCTATTGTTTCTACTTGAAGGTTTAAACTCTTCTCTTTTTTTCTGTTTCCCATTCTGTTTTTTTTTCCCTATGTTTTGAATATAGATGTCTTACTGCAGAATGCTCCCAATGGCTCATTCTTTCTACTTCATGCATGTGCTCATAATCCTACCGGTGTTGATCCGTCGGAGGAACAATGGAGAGAAATATCTCACTTGTTTAAGGTAAACACTTTCTTGCCTTGGTGTTTTTGTTGTGTATATTAACTACTTCATGATATGGGCATCAAGAAAAAAATTTGTGGAAATTGCTTTCATGTAATTATAGTTTTGATAAACTGTATTTTGTTGTGAGATTTCTTACTTTAGAAAGGCATCATTATCATTTAGGACAATAAAAGATTTATTTGGAAAAATAATATAATATTATTTAACATTTAGTGTCGTCAACCTTTACAATTTTTTCCTTTAGGAGCCTATCTCTTATTTGTGTGGGTCCCGTATATGTATGGCATAACCCAAGAGGGGGGTGAATTGAGTTTTCTAAAAACAGATATAAATTTTAGAATTTTAAAACAAAATATATATGTGTGGGTCCCGTATATGTAATGGGGCATAAACCCAAGGGGGGTAATTGAGTTTTGTCCTAAAAAACAGATATATGATTATTAAGAATTTTAAAACAAAATAATAGAATTTTAAGTGCAAGCGAAAAAACAAAGAACTTGTGAGAATAGAAATATGGAATTAGGGAATCACCTCACAATGTTCTATTCATAAAAGATAGAAAGTTTGTGCAAAGTGCAGCTATTGATTAGAACTGCTTCACAATGACTTATACAATATTAGGACTTCTTTATGAAGGAAAGTAATTGAATTAGAACTTCCTCATAAAGTTTAGAAAATCATATAAGACTGTGTGAGAGACAGTTATTGAAATTAGAACTTCTTCACAAAGCCTTAGCCAGGTTTAGAAAACAAATTAGAAACCCAAGTAGTGAAATATACTGTAAATAGAATAACTGTTTAGAACTTGGTATATTCACTTATCAGAATTATCAGAATTCCTGGGTTCTAATATTGCAGAGAAGAAATAAGACTTATTCCAAGTTTAGAACATTCAAACAATTTACAACTTTAGCAATTAATCTAAAAATAAAACAGAATGTAAGTAAAAGCAGTGTATCAAGCAAACTTCAGAAAAATTAGAAAAAGAATCAAATACAATGATTTATAGTGGTTCGGCACTAACTCGCTTACATCCCTTCCAGACTATCTCGAGATACCTCAACTATGTTTATCTCTTTTCAAGGGTAAGAAGATAAACCAACAGTAACAGGGCAATAAAGATTCAACACATAGATCTACCCTTTATCCCACTAGATTTTCCAAAGGGTTCCTAGTAAACCTCAAAAAACCCTTTCTGTTTTTGGCAATTGTAACAGAAACTCACATTCAGCATTAGAAATCTCACACAAGGAAAGAAGGTCTCGCTTTAATTAACCTCTTTCACAATGAGCTTCTCACTAAGCTATTAAGCTATTACACAAATATTTATCAAATAAAAACCTGTCTACTATAGATTACAGAATCTAAATAGACAGAAAGAAATGCATATATAAGCGCAGGAAAAACAGAATAGTTTTTCAGATTAGAAAATCGTTTAGAACACAAAACCGTTTTTCAAAAGTAGTTAACAAAATTCTTTTCTCTTTAAAGATAAAAAACGTGAAGTTTAAAGATCAAAAGAAAAATAGGGGTAGAGAGTAAGTTTTGAGAGATAAAGGATGTGATCAATAGGTGAATACTGTTAAAACGAAAACTCTTTCTTCCACTTAGTTCAAAGCATGAAAGCTCCTTTTTATAGAGAGCTATGTAACTCTCGCTTTTGGAAAGAGGATATTTCATTTTGAAATCAGAATATTTTCTTTCCTTATTTAGAAGATACGAAAATCTTAGTTACCAGAAAATCTTAGTTACCAAAAGTTTATCTTATTCTTTTGGTAAGAGAATAAAATACGATTTTACTTTCCTTTAAACAAAAAGATTTTCGGCAGTATTATTTGGAAAATATTTTTCGAATAAGATACTACTTACTAAAAACGAAAAGATACAATCTACATTCGTTTTAGGTAAGAGTATAAGGTGAAATTCTTTAGATCTTCAAAAGATATTTTCGAAAAGTAAAGTGTATGATTTATTATCAAAAACATTAGAGACGTAATCTCTTTAGTTTTAGGAAATTAAATCATTTTGATTTTTAAAGCATATTTTCGAAAAATATTTTTGATGAGAGAAAAATTAATTTATGTGCTTATAGATTTATGTGCTCATATATGAATTTTCTCTCTATCCTACAAAGTATCCTAAAAAAAAAAACCTAAGCACTAAGGTCTTCGGATATCTTCACACAATGTAGGAGTTGCCTTGTACGATTTCTTTCCATAGTAATTCTGCATAAAATAATATTAGCACAGATAACATAATTTAAATTTATTTGTTTTGTATTAATAATCAAAATCCGAGATTAGAAATTGACCCTTGAGCCAACATGCATTATTAAGAGCTAATTTTCGGTATGGATGTTTGACCTTGGTTTTGAGAGTGGACCTCTAATTCATTTTGAATATCATAATGCAATCATTTATAGTGAATTAATACCCAAAAGAAAAGGGAGTTATAAGGGGGTTGCGATTCCTTTGAATTTTCACATTTCTTGCATTCATGAATGAATCATAGAAAGGTGTAAAAGATGTTAGCCACATTAAAAGCCAAGTATGCTACTTTTGAGTTGGCAAAACCAGCTCCATTTGTCTTATGTAGTAAGGCTGTTCAAAATGGGTTGTCCGGTTTTGAATCAACTTCCATTTGTATCAAAATGAAAAATTTTTAAGTTTGTGCATATGTTCACAAAGATAAATAAAATAAAGCTATTCAAAATTGGGTGCTAATGCAACCAGATTTGAGAAATATAATTCATTAATAATGAAATCAAGTATTACAAATACTCAATGAGACCAGATATAGAACTTATTATCATAATTAATAGAAAGTTCGCTGATCCTTCAACAACAAAAGAATTATCTATATTCTTTTGAATAATAAAACTAAAACTTTTGAATAATAAGACTAAAACTAAGAGAAACAATATTGGATTTTCAGATATAGAACTTATTATCATAATTAATAGAAAGTTCGCTGATCCTTCAACAACAAAAGAATTATCTATATTCTTTTGAATAATAAAACTAAAACTAAGAGAAACAATATTGGATTTTTCCGTTTGAAGATTACCTTGACCGATATAAATCTTCATTGTAGCAACTGATCCTTCAATTGATTTGGACGACAAAATAACTTCTTTGGATCTTCTATGCTTAGATTGCTTTTCCAAAAACTTATTGCGTATGACGTACACGGATGGGTTTTAGCCACTATGCGTTAATAGCATCAATGGAGGAACAGACCTCACTATCAGACTCCATTTATCAAAGATACACATCTGTAAAACAAAATCTAAATCTTCCAACCAAATAAAATCAAATATCATACTTCTTAAGCACATACCTTCACAAAGAAGAAACTAAACCCTCACGGAAGAAGGGATAAAAGAATTCCAATTATGGAGATAAAGCAACAATAACAAAAAAAGAAAGAAAAAACAGATCTATTAAAAGAAAATAGATCTGAGTTTATTAAAAACGAATAAAAGATTAGGAGCGAGAAGAAAAAAGAAAAGTAAGGGGCTACTGTTGATTAACAACGGCAGCCCAAACAAAAGCTAGGGTTGGATATACCAGAGAGAAAAGAGAATGCAACCAGATTTGAACAGTCCTAGTATGTTAATATAGATACAATCAGAATCCAAATAAATAAAGAGATCGAATCACACAACACGATCAAAACATTGAACTAGTAAGAAATAAAGTGTGAATGTTCAATTGGTCAATTGTAGTAAACTTTGAATAGCTAATAGAAATAAAGTCTGATTGTTATGAAAAGTAAACATTCTAAGCCTTGCAATTCCCTTTCAATGAAAGATGGTTATGCCTTAACTACTGACTAATGCACCTCTTCCAGCAACAATACTGGAAGTTGGCAAGTCCATCCATTGGCAATGAAATCCAAAATTAATTATCAGACTCTGTATTGGGGAAGGTCATATTCCTAATAAAAACAACTCAAAGTTGTTGGCCTTATTATGTGCACCCAAGAGAGTGGTGAATTGGGTGTTTTTTGTATTTCTGCAAGTCTGAACACAAATTAGCTCAAAAATTGTCAGTGTTGCTCAGCTCAGAGAAATAGTTTTGAATGGAATAGAACAACTCAAAAACAGAGTATATGAAGTTAATTCTCAAAAACTAGCATAAGTTAATCAATCCATATAAATGAAGAATTTTTATCAGTGACCAAACATTAAACAATCATATCTCATAGTTAAAAGACAAAATTAATTGATTAAGGTGGAAGTAATGCCACAACCATAACTCATGCAGAATATGTACAAAGATTGTACGAAACTAAATAAATTAGACTATTATGCTCAGTAGTCAAATTTCAATCAAGCAACCTTGTTTAAGTGAAAAACAATAAAATTTAAGTCATTCCAGCATTAAATTGATTCCATAAATAGTTAAGTTATGTAGTGCAGTCTATAGGTTGAAGCACGAAGTAAAGAGATAGGGGATGAGGAGCACAATTGTGTTTGGTAACCTTTACTACATCCACTCTCTGAAGACCTACCTTGAGTTTTTCTCTCCACTGGTAGACGTTTTTCGTAGGCAAGTATTAAGTGTATATTGACTTCAGTGTCTAACCCTGTACTATAACTTAAAGAGAGTTATATATGACTCCTAAGTCCCATGCTTACCAGGACACTTGAACCCTTCCATTTGAGTTACTAGGGCCGTAGGGCGCGTAAAGCTGTTGACTAGACTTATCCCTTATTCTGAACCTTAAAGCTTTCCATTAGGTTCATCAACAGCGCAACAATCTTTAACAGTTTACGGTTTCTCTCTTTAAAAAACTCATATTACAATAATCAAGAGACAGGATGAACCCCTTGTTGCTCTCTTTAGTTTTACTCAAATTGCTGAAAGCGAGAATGGTTGCTTTGACTTGTTTTCTTAGGCAATTTTGAAAAGTTATTCTTATTTTATTTGTTTTATATGTACACAACTTAAAATTTCAGGATCTCATCTTTTAATGTTTACTTTCTAGTGCTTCTGTAATAAACAATTCATAAGGAAATTATTTAGGTTTGGCTTGTTCCTAAAAAATAATTTATCTTTGGAAAATATTCTACAAGCAAAATGTTGTCCTTAAAAAATATTTTCCAAATAACTCATTTCCTGTTGTTTAGTTGTAATATTGAAAATTAGTTAAAGATTTCAAAATTTTAACTTGAACATTTAAAATATTTATAATTATGGAGATTCGCATTCTAAAATTTTATTGTTAAATATGAGAAAAAAAGCATAAACAATGATAGATTGTGATAGTCGCCGGTTAGATGATGTCATTTCTAATGCATGTCCCACCTCTCATCATTATGTTTCACATGATGTCATTTTCAGGTTAAAAATCATTTTGCCTTCTTTGATATGGCATATCAAGGCTTTGCTAGTGGTGATCCAGAGAGAGATGCAAAGTCTATCAGGATTTTTCTTGATGATGGTCATCATATTGGTATTGCCCAATCATATGCAAAAAATATGGGGCTCTATGGCCAGAGAGTAGGATGCCTAAGGTATTGTTTTTAATTTCTGGATATACATCATGCACAAATTTTGTTTATCATCATTGTATGCCTGTTTATCTTTTCCTTATCCTCTTTCTTCGGTAGCAATCCCATGAAAATTCGTAAAATCACCAATAAAGAAAATTAAACACACTACATATTAACAGAATACAAGATGATTGCATAAGAACTACTTACACCACCAACTTCTTTCAAAATTATCATGAGTAGTTCCTTTTAATAGAGGATCTTTTACTATGACTAATATGACAAATGTACATCACCTATAAAAATGATATGCTGGTGGCTAAATTATGAATAATGTGTTCCTAGATTCCCTGAAATACCATGAGATATTCAAACTTCGAAACTAACAAGAAATCCAGTTTTCGGTGCCATTTTATATACTTTATATAGGATTCAGAAGGGAAAAATAAGCTTTTGCTTGTTAGCTTTCTGTGTTTTTAAGGAAGTGCACACCTATTGCTGTTGATCAAATTTTCGGTTTCCACGTCAAACACTTATTTCATGTTAATGCAAGATGATGTTTGTCTTTTAAAAGACGGTTTCATACTGTTAGTTGCTTGGTTTCTAACCAATAAAAGAAGAGGCATCAAGTGTTCAAAATAATTACAAGCGCCATATCTGTGAGAGTAGGACAATCACTAATGGTAATAGAGAACCTGAAATTTTCAATTTTCAATTTTTTCCATAATAATAATAAAAAAAAATCTTGAAGCCAGTACATCCTTAAGCATCTAATGAATTGAAACTTCTGAAAATAGGCATTTGATTATTGTGCATTGTTGACTGCAAGAACAAAACAAGCTATAGAAAAAGCATCACCAGGCAGTAGCCATAAGACTTGTGCAGGAAACCCCATTACCAGTATTATATATGAGATATTCGTGCCAGTTTTGTCAGGAATCCAGATTGTTGATGATTTGATTTCTTCATAGTTATTTTAAAATTTCGTATGAGGGAGATGTAAAAAGTAGTGAACTATATCTGCTTGCAAGTCTATATATGGTATTTTGGGCACTTTCAGATACATGGATTTGTCAGAAAATTAAGGGATCTGTAAAAATGTCGACCAGATAGGTTTTTTGCATTTAGATTTGTTCATCACTTTGTCAAATAATGGTATGGCCAGGAGTGGCATGAAGATAAGGTAATAAAATTTAATGATGCAAGAAGGATGTTCATAACTTCTAACATTGTTTCATATCTGTTACAGTGTGGTTTGTGAAGATGAAAAACAAGCTGTGGCTGTAAAAAGTCAGCTACAGCAACTAGCAAGACCCATGTATAGCAATCCACCTGTTCATGGTGCACTTATAGTTTCAACCATCTTAGGAGATCCAGACTTGAAGAAATTATGGCTTAAGGAAGTGAAGGTACATAGTTACCGTCAATGTATTCCACAGCATAGCTGGTTTCAGTTTCTTTTATGCATAACTGTTTAAAAAAATAAGATCATATTCTTTTCCTACTATGTATGAACATACTTGAAAGAGAATCAACTTGCCCTACCCTTCATAGATCACCCAAATTGTCATTTTTTTAAATTGTTTTCCTTATCAATGGAACCTGACCATTTCCTTGTTATTCTCATTAGACAATGGCTGATCGTATCATTGGCATGCGAATGGCTCTACGAGAAAACCTTGAAAAGTTGGGGTCACCTTTGTCATGGAAGCACATCACCAATCAGGTATACTAGGTTGCTAAATTTTTCATTTGCCAATTATAGGCCGAAGACATAAATATGCTCTTGAACTTTTATAAAAAAACCTTATGGTATCCTAAAGTTTGCGAATGACCGATTATGCATGTGAAATTGTAAAAATTGATAACTATATACGCTCTACAGAACAATCCTAAAACAACTAAAAAGCGTGTATTCACTCGACGCCGTTTTTCTTTTCCTCTTCCTTCGTCCCCTTCTCTCTCTTGTTCCTCTGTCTCTCTAGCGAACTTCATCTTTTCTAGTTTGAGTGACTTTCCGGCCATTCCTCTGGCCAGTTCCTCCATTGTTTCGTGTTTCAAATGTTCGGTTTTAATAGAAGAATCTATTACCAGTTTCTTTGAAAATGAAAGAAATTTCGTGCCCAGATTGAAGTTAGCATTCTCGGTTTTAATCTCCTCTCTTGATGTAGTTTTTTCTTTTTGTGTAACTGTAATTAGAAGAGGCTTCTTTCCTCCTATGATTTTTTCTTTTTTGTTCTTTCAGAAAGTATATAAAATAGTGTTCTGCAATCAAGGTATAGTTTTGTAGCTTTTGATTTTACAATTTATTTTTTAAGTGGGAACTTGCAGATTTAGATAAATTTCTCAGTCTTACATCATTTTTCATATCAAGATTATATGGATAATAAACCAGCTAGCATTTTATTTGCATTCATTTATTAATTTGAAATTAAAGGCAAGCCCATGTGAATAATTTGAAAGATTTGATGAAGGGAATATTGGGAAAGGAAATAATTTAGTTTGCAGAGAAAGAGAGAGAACACGCTGAAGAAATGGTAGTGGGTAGTTTGGAGAAGGAGAGCGTGGAAAGTACGAAAATGTCCACCTTAATTTTGTTATCTACCACATTTTTTATAGTTAAATGCCACATAAGCCTTCCTTTTTTTATGCTTCACGCTTTTTAGGCAAGTGATTTTCACGAAGTGTTTAAAAATAACGAAATTGACAACTTCAGATGCATAATCGCTTATTCGCAGAGTTTGGGGTGTCATAGGGTTTTTTATACAAATTCAGGAGCATATTTACGTATTTGGCCGCCAATAATATATCATAAATCCTTTTATTATGCATGTATCTTTTGTTGTAACTTACCAATCATTTTATGTCTTGCCAATAGATCGGCATGTTTTGCTATAGTGGTATGACACCCGAACAAGTTGATCGTTTGACAAAAGAATTTCATATTTATATGACCCGTAATGGTCGAATCAGGTAATATGCTATGTAAATTATTTTGGTCTGTCTCTGTACAAACACCTGCATGTTTATGTGTCCATGTGAACTTTGAGTTTTGCTAATTTTGCTGACAACATATGCAGTATGGCTGGCATTACTACGGGGAATGTGGGATATTTGGCGAACGCTATCCATAAGGTCACAAAATCTGCTTAGACTCATTTGCAGGGTATACATTATAAGGCTTTAGGTCATAGGTCATAGGGAGACACAATATGATTTTTTCCCTCCTCTTTAATGGCCGAGGAAAGGGCAATAAGGTGGTCTTTTTTTTTATGTTCATAATTTCCGATTCCACCATTTCCTTGAAGTGCTTTACAATTTTTGGGCAGTTGAGGGATGCGGTGTCGATTGGAGTCATACTCAGGCTTGTCTGTCTTTCGATAAATAAGTTGGCTGAACAATTTTGTTACTATCTCATGAGGAAACAATCTCTCCTTTCGTTTTCTTTGTCCTGAAGCAAAATGATTGTGACAGTTTAATGAATAAGTTACGTGTTTTACCTAAACTTTTACAGTTTGACATTGGACAGCTTGGAACTCAAATTTGGGTTTGTAAATGTTAGAATGGGTATACATTTTGGTGAAGAAGTAGGGTTTTACATGTGAATAGGTTAGAGAGGCAAGAGAAAACAAAAGGGGTTGTTTTGAGGCTGTTTGTTGAGAAATCAAAGGACTATGCCCTCTTCATTTGTGGGAGAAATAGTAGACTTCAGAACATTTTCACATGGAGTTTTTATGGAAAATGCGTTTAAATTTGTTTGTTTCTTTCCTATATCTTCTAAGAAATACGATTTTCCAATTTTATAAAGGAATGTTCTATTTTTTAGTTCTCCTTTTCATTTTCAAATTTGTAAGTGATATTGTTTTCTTTTTCATTTTCGATACACGGGGTTTTCTATATTATTTTTTTCATTAAATAGTAAGAGTACTGTATATTATATTATTTTGAGTAATTTGTATTCGAGTATGAAATGACTCTTGACTTTTAGTTTTCAAATCAAATTTAGTTTAAAATAGGAAAATTTAAATAAATTCATTGTATTTATTTTTGGAAAAGGCTCATTTTAGCCCTTGAACTTAGACCAAAAAATTCAAATAACTTATAAATCAGCTTTTGGCTAAAAAATCTCCAGAACTTGGCATGTTATTGTCAATTTACTCATCTTTTTACATGGTCAACGTGCAGGAATACATATATCAAATAAATTGATTGAATTGAATTTTGTTATTAACTTTAATGAAGTTGGCTATCAAAGGGTCACTGAACTGGCATTTGCATGGGAAAGATACAGCAAAGTTTCCACTCCAAAGATAAGGTTTTCAGTGCAATTTATGTAATCATCCGTCATTTGCAATTTTATTCAAATCAATTTGGAAAAAAAAAATGTCAGAGTGGTCGATTGCAATTTATGAATATTTTGAGAATCAACCCACAACATGATTATCGCCTTCAAGGTATGACATCAGTTAACTGGGAAACTTTTTCTTCATTGTGGTTGATTTTTACACAAAATTCATCATTGTGTCTAAGTTTTCGTCCTGTTAAGCAGCTTTAACCTTTTTAGTCTTTGAACAACTACTCATTTTCTTACTCTCTATCTTGCTTTTTCTTCACAAACGCACTGCATATGATAGCAACTAGGAGTTTGGGTTTTAGTTCGGGGTTTTCGGTTTATAGCTGTCACTGTTAGCATTCCTAATTAAAAACTATATTTAGCTCAGTATTTACTTTTTGTTAACTGCGTGTGCTCACCCACCCGTCTAATAAAAAAATATGGGCAAATTGACAATAAAATGTCAAATTATGGGTTATTTAAGTTCTTGATACAAGTTGAGGGGGCAAAATGAGCCTTTTTTTCTTTATTTTTTACTAGTTGGAATTGAATTAAATTTAGAGAAGAATTGAAAATCCTTTTACCAGATTTAAACCTTTGTTCTAAGTCAAATTTAACTTAAAATAAAAAAATTTAAATAAATTCATTGTATGTATTTTTTTACTAATAGGAATTGAATTAAATTTAGAGAAAAATTGAAAATCCTTTTACCAGATTTAAATATTTGAATATGAAAAGAAACCATTTGAACTAAATCCATATGATTTGAACCAAAACAAAATACAATGCAATTACATAAAAAGAGATAAATTCAAGAAAAAAAAAAAAAATTTCCCTGTAAATTGAAAGTCATGCTTTGCAATTTTCACAATCTTTCATCAATTTGAAGTACGAGGAGAAACAAAATTTTATAGCCGCACTTAATTGGTTGATACTGATTATAACTTACAATTACTTGTGAAATTTTTAATCTTGAAAATATATCCTTCTACTAATAATTGCTTATACCTACGAACTTGAGTTTTCCTAATCGATACATGTATCAAATTATACCTGTAATAATATGAAAGAAGTTAGAATGATACGAATATGTATAGATGTTTTCGGTTAACATTCAAATAAAAACAAATACATGATTTGCAATGACCTTTTCATCTATAAGCACCTATAAGTATAAAATTTATTCCTGAAAATTAAGAAACAAAATATAAAAATACAAATTTTATTTATGATAAATAAGTGGATACAATTTCTAGTGTGAACTATTCTATTATAAATAAGATTATCCTTTGATTCTTCTCTTGTTGTTGCCAACACGATTGAAGGGTCGAAACGACTTAATCTTGAATACGATTCAACGGTCGGAAAGACTTAAAGTTGAATTAGTGTAGAACGAACTTTGAAAAATTTAAGAGTCGAAGAGACTTAATCTTGAATACTATTCAATGGTCGATAAGACTTGATGTTAAATTTGATGTAGAATGAACTTTAGACACAATTCAAGAGTCGAATAGACTTGATCTTGAATTGAAGTTGAAACAATTTTGATTCTTTAGACTTGGAAGATACTTTTTGTAGTTTTGAGTTTGACAGAGATTTAAAGGTGTTTTTCTCTCCGTATGTGTGTGTCCTTGTATGTAAAGAGAGACCTCTTATATATAAACATTTAAGGAAGTTCTCTTGCCAAATACGTAATTTGATTGGTCCACTTGGCAAGCTTTCTTTGATTGCTTCTGCATCATTTAGCTTATGTGGACGTCTGAATTATTCGGCAAGATTTAATTTAATTGGTCCACTTGGCCAATTTTTATTAGATTTTACTACATTATTTATTTATGCAGTAAATAATATTTATCCAATAATTTTATTTTAATAACCATTTAAATATTTTGGTTGTTTCTAGAAATAAATTATTTAATTTAACTAACCAATAATTTAATTGACTAATTAAATAATAAGTTAATAATTAAATTAACTTAATAAAATTTTGGTGTTTATATATTTCCCACTGAGACTTGTTTATTAACTTGTTTGAATGGATCTCAGAAATTTGAAGAAGACAATTTCTTTTCAATTTAACCCATGCCTCCCTTTTTTCTATAGCATGAATTTCAATATGCTATAAATTTGATGCTTACATGCTTCAACATACATGACCAATAATCCAACGGTTTAGCCTATTAACATAATGATAAGCCAACATAAATTGACTTCATATATCAATATTAATTGCATAGTCAGGCCCTCATTTTGGTTTTTTTTTTTTTTTTTTTTTTTTTTTGCACTAGTCAGGCCCTCATTTTTGGGTTTTTTTTTTTTTTTTTTTTTTTTTTCCTTTTACATAGTTTTTTTTTTTTTTTTTTTTTTTTTCCTTTTACATAGCTTGATGATGTCGTTCTTTTCTTTTGCATCAAACCATGGCTTGCAATTAATCTGGGCCAATGAATTACTTGTGCATGATACTGACTTCGTTTAAGCTTAATTGAATTTTCTTTTTTTTTTTTTTTTCTTTTTCTTTTGAAAATTCTTAATTGATGACCATGAATAGTAACCCTACATCCTTGCATGATTTAATTGATGATCAACAACTATCGAATTTAATTTGGCTTGAACATGTTGATCACATGATTTGACCTGATTTGATCTTTTCTAAATTTATATGAATTATTTTCACCATGGACCTGTCATAATTGATTTTTTTTTAACAAGTCTTCTTTTGATTCTTTTTCTTTCTTTTTTCTTTTTTTTTTTTTTAGCTAGTCAGTTGCTTTAGAGACTTCATCAGATGGTTGGCATAATTGATCTTTCTGCTTCACATAAAATTCCATATATGAAAATTTTGAGCGATGACGAAGAAGATTCAAATCCTGGAATGGTCTTCACTTTTCAAAGATCTGCTGATGAATATCTCAATAGACCCTCCTCACCTTATGGATTGAACTATCGAACGTGCATGTAAATTCTAAATTTCACGTGAAGTAGTTAAGCGCATCCAATTTCGTTTGCTGCAATCTTCACTTCACTTGCTTCAAACTCCACCAAATAATCTCCATTTTTTGAGAAGTCGCATCCATAACAATGAAGTTTTTTGGCATCCTACTTTCAAATTTATTGGTGAATTTTTCTTCGTCAAACGCTATTGGGAGTGGCTTGAAGATGTGTTAGCAAGTAATAAGCAACTACTTTTGAAAGTCAAAGTGTATCATGCTTTGTTCACATCACTCGTCACTTATGATCCCCCAACGTCATTCATCTTTTCTGTGAACATTGGAGTGCTTCAACAAATACTCTTTTCCTCCCAGCTGGAGAAGAGTCGATTTCTCTTTGGCTTCCAATCCATGGCTCATTATATGATGAGATGATCCCTTCAGCTGCAGATCTTACTAGAGTCTACAGAGGTGGAACTCCCTTCTTACCACGAATCTGCAAATACTGATTTTATGCATATTAGAAAAATATCAAACAGGTTGATAACCACTTCCAGTTGAATGTACGCAACTGGGTGAACTTTTTGTTCCACGATCATGCTAAATATTTTGAGCCTCCTAAAAAAAAGACTACGGAAAAAGAACTGCCCCTTCAAAGAAAAATTTCAATTCTTCAGTTGTTATTGGCAACAAATTATCATGAGATGCAAATTGGCAAAAGCCTTTTGAAATCCTAAACATAGAAGGTGATCTACAGGAAGAAGTTACTTGGTTGCTTTGATTTTTTATTAGCTATGGAAGTTTGTACTTTTATATGATCATGTGAATCTTGTTCGTTCGAGCACCTTCAAAGTTGCAAGCATCAAGAGGAACACTTCATCAATTTTCGTTCAAGCTTCTTGCTCAATCTTGAATTTTTGAGCACCTGTACTTTAGTAAAATACTAAGCTGCCTACGTACCTTCTTTTGGAAGGATCAAGTCATAACGTAGTTCAACTAAACCTTTTTTTTTTTTTTTTTGAGATTTTTTATGACTGAACTTAGTGTAATACTAAGCTAGTTACATACTTTCTTTTGGAAGGATCAAGTCATAATGTAGTTCAACTGCAATATTTTTTTTTTGTTTTTTTTATTAGCAGTTCATAGTTTTAGCTCGTGCGGGCTAGGAGCGCTGTCGAGCTTCTAGGCATAGTATCTTTTCAAAAACTTGCCGTTGATTGTCCCGATTTGCTCTCCATCTTGTATCTTGTATCCTCCATTTGAATAGCCTTCTTGAACTACATATAGTCCGTCCTAGTTTGAGAGGAACTTATTGCCCACACATCGTGACATGATTATTGGTCTTCTTACTGCTAGAACCAGATTGCCAACTTGAAAAGAGCGAATTTGCACCTTCTTGTTAAAAACTTTGCACATTTGTGCTTGATAACACTCCAAATGTGGTTGTGCTTCAAGTCATTTTTCATCCAGTGCTTTTGACACTTATAGGCAAAGCCGAGCATTGTCTTCATTAGAGAGACCTTCTTGAAGGCAATTCTTAAGGATGAAATTTGTTGTTTGAGAGG